CAGATTTAGTGGCACCTTAACCAACTCTTGGGAAAGCACCAATTTCGTGGACCCCTTTTAATTTGCCGAGGTCACAGATATTTATGCAAATTAAGAATAAAATGGACTTGAGGCAACCAACGCTAATGAGAAGCTCTGTTGCTACGTGAGATCACACCAAATACTGTGATTTTCATCAAGATCATAGTCATACAATGGAGGAATGTAACAATTTGAAGTCTAAGTTGGAATGCTTAGCTTGGAAGGGGATGTTGAATGAGTACATCTAGAGAATAGATCAGCCTAACTTTGTTAAGGAATAGGGGTCACAGTCACAGGGGTCTCGTAATGCAAGCAATAGATAAAGAGTGGGATACCAACAAACTCCACCACCCCTTCCACCACCAGCTCAAATCATTCACATGATCACGAGTGGCCTAGAAGTAAGAGGTTTAAGCTCCAAACAACAAAAACTATATGTCAGGGAGGCAAAACACCAAAATAGAGCTCAGAAAAAAAAATTCGATGATGCTAAATGGAAGTTTCAACCCATCACTTTTACATCTACTTGACCTCGACGGAGTTATAACTCCCCACAATGACCCATTGGTCACATTTATTGTAATTAACAACTGCGAGGTATAGCGTGTCCTTATTGATACAGGTAGTGCACTAATACCATTGTTTTGAGAGTTTGGGCCTAGACCCAACTTTATTACAGAAGTACGATGGTCCTATATATGGTTTCAACAACCAGCCTGTTGAGGTGGAAGGGGTCCTTACCCTCAATGTTGCATTTGGGAGTGGTCGAGCTGATGTCACTTCTTCAGTTCAATTTTTAGTTGTTAAAATGGCTTCATCCTTCAACATTGTCATAGGTTGACCCGCGTTAATAGAGATTCGAGCTGTAGTCTCCCAATCTCATCTTTATATGAAGTTCCCCATTCCCATGAGAATAGCGACAGTACGGGGTAGTCAAGAAACAACCAGGCATTGTTATATGACCTTGGTCACAAGACCTTAGAAAGAAAAGAATAAGATATCCGAAACCGTTCCACAGGAAGTTCAAGACCAGCAACGGGTGATGGGGGTAGAGATACTTAATAGTTGGTTAAAGGATGAAACTCGGGCTGCTCTAATCGAAGATATTGAGGAAGTATAGATTGATGATAGAGATCTGAACAGAAGAACTAGAATTGAAACTCATCTGAACCCAGAGGAAAGAGTTGAGCTAATAGCTTTCCTCTAAGCTAACAAAGATGTTTTTGCTTGGACTTCTACAAACATGCCAAGAATCGCCACCTTTGTATCCATGCACAAACTTAGCACCAATCCCTTGAAAAAACCAGTAGCATAGAAACGACGTCTCTTTAGGGGGGAGAGACTTAAGGTGGTTAAGGATGAAGCGGCAAAACTCTTACAGGCAAGCTTTATCAGAAGAGTCAACTACTGTGAATGAGTTGATAACCTAGTGTTGGTTAAGAAAACTAACGGCAAGTGGCGAATGTGTATGGACTACACTAACCTTAATCAAGCATGTCCTAAAGATTTATTACCCAATGCCAAATATTGACAAGTTGGTTGAAGCAACTTTTGGAAATGAGAGATTGAGCCTCTTAGATGCATATTCTGGTTATCATCAAGTCTCAATGGCCCTTGAAGATGAAGAGAAAACCTCATTTATGCGGGTGATGAAATCTATTTTTATGTTATGATGCCTTCTGGCTTAAAGAATTTAGGTGCCATTTATCAAAAAATAGTGACCATCGTCTTCCGAGCTCAGATTGGCAGGAACTTGGAAGTTTACGTTGATGACATTGTGGTGAAGAGCTTGAAAGCTAAAGATCATTTGATTAACTTGGATGAAACTTTCACCAATTTGAGGAGAAACGGGATGTGATTAAATCCAACAAAGTGCATATTTAGAGTGGAATTTGGAAATTTTCTAGGTTTCATGGTTTCCAGAACAGGGATTGAAGTCAACTTAGAGAAAATCAAACCAATAAAGGAGATGGGACCTTTGAAGTCAGTGAAAGATGTGCAGAGGTTAACTAGTAGAGTGCCAGCCCTCCATAGATTCGTTTCCAAGTCTGTTGACAAGTGCTCTCCATTCTTCGAGATTATGAGATCGATGACTCAGAAAGACGAGTCTAGCAAGTAGAAAAAGTTTGAATGGAATTCAAAATGCCAAGTTGCATTCGATGAGCTTAAGTTTTATCTTAGCTCACCTCCATTGTTGACGAAAGCTGTTGATGGGGAGATCCTTTACTTGTACCTCAATATCTCACATGAAGTAGTCAATTTTGTACTAGTAAAGGAAGAAGGAAAGCATCATAAACCAGCAAAGTACTACACAGGGTAGAGTAAAGGTAATGTATTGCTAAAAAAGTAACTTTAGCAGTTGTTACTTTTGCTAGAAAGCTAATGCCATATTTCTAGTCACACCTGATTGTTGGCCTCACAGACCAACCACTTTGACAGATATTGCAGAAACTAGAATGCTCTGGCAGGTTGATGAAATGGGCAGTCGAGTTAAGGGAGTTTGAAATAACACTCCAGCATAAATCAACAATTCGAGCTTAAGCATGAGTAGATTTTGTTGTTGAATGCACTTCTGATCAAGCACATCTGGAAGTTGAAACAGATACATGGGTTTTGTATGTTGATGGTGCATCAAGTAACAAAGGGTCAGGAGCTGGAGCAATCCTAGTGGGACCAGATGGCTACTGAAGTAAACATGCCTTGAAGTTCAATTTTGATGCAACTAATAACATGGCTGAATATGAAGCTTTGCTACTTGGTCTACAGCAGGCGTTGAAGTTGAAAGCCACAGTAATATAGGTTTACAGTGACTCATAGCTTGTAGTTAATCAAGTTAACTTCATTTGTGAGGTAGTTGACCCAACTCCAATGAAGTATGTAGCTCTGGTGGCTCAATTCAAGTGCAAATTTGAGAAGTTCTCTCTAACTAAGATGCTCCAAGTTGAAAATAAACAAGTAGATTCGCTTTCTAAATTTGCATCAAACGGTCGTCGAGGTACCAGATCAATCTTTGTTAAGGTCTTAGATGAACCTAACTTCTAAAAACCAAATATGATAGAGATCAGTACCGATCCGAGCACACCAAGCTGGACAAACCCAATTGTGTCTTTCTTGCGAGACGGTTTAGTTCTTAAAGATAAATAGGAATAAATGAGATTGAGAAAGAAAGCATCTCAATATGTTTTGATGGATGGAGTCCTGTATAAGAGTTATTTCTCATTTCCCCTTCTTCGATGTTTGAGCTCTTATGAAGCTGAATATGCACTTTAGGAGGTCCATGAAGGTGTTTGTGGAAGTCATGTTGGTGCTCGAAACCCTGGCTCATAAAGTCCTTAGATAAAGATACTACTAACCAAATATGTACAAGGATGCCACTGATTTTGTGCAGAGGTGCCGAACATGCCACTCGGAGCATGGTTTTGAAAATCGGATCAGATCGATCGATTGAACCGATTAAATCGATACCTGGCAATATAAATTGTTTAGGTGTATTCTTTAAACCGTTTGAACAGTTACACCATTTGAAACTGATAAAAACCGTTGGAACCGCTTAGAACTACTGGAACTACTTAAACCGAGAAACCATTCAACCAAATGATTCAATGCTTGAGAATAAAAGCTTGAGAAATTTGTCTCCTGTGTACCTTGAACTTGCAACCTTGAAGCCTTTATTCCAATACTTTGCCACCAGGACAATGCAATCCCTATGTAAATGGATGCTTGGAATTTTATTTATGTAATAGAAATCTCAAAGCTTTGAACCAAATTATGAATAACAACCATGGGATTCGAACACCCATTCTCTATGTTATGAAACAAAGTCTCTTCCACTCGAGACACAAGCTTCTATTTGCAAATTTTTGTTTTATAATATATTTATTCTATTTTTAAAACTACAACTATATTAAAGTTTGTTCTCAAGGGGACTCAAACTTGTGATCTTTCGTATAACTAACCAACCACCCACCACCACACCCAATGAACACCTTGTGAAATACTTTGCATAATAATATGTTTATGTTATATTGATCAACTCGGCGGTTTTATCGATTAAACTGTTCAAACTATGAACCAAAGGTCAAAACAATTTGACCTTCGGTTCGAGTTTAAAAACATTGACCCGGAGTCTAATGGTACGGTGGAATTTGTCCATAAATCTATTCTGGAAGGAATAAAATCGAGGTTGGAGCAGCATAAAGTCAGGTGGGCATATGAGCTCAACAACGTGTTTTGGGCATATAGAACTATGAGCCGAACTGCTATAGGTTTTATTTTCTACCTCTGTTTACTCTTTCATTACTTTATTTCTTTTCCTATTGCCCCATTTTAGGTCAAATATATGTGTAACAGATAAAGCATATACTAAAACTATAACTTAATGAAATGGGTGAAACACCATACCACCTGGCTTTTGATATTGAAATAGTCATTCCTATTGAAATAGGAGTCCTGAGCTTGAAGGACAAAATGGACAACTGCTTTGGGAGAACCTCGATCTGCTTGACGAAGCCAAAGAGGAAGCACGACTTTGAATTTTGGCATACAAGCAGAGATTAGCCAACTTCTACAACAAACGGGTTAGCCCTTGAACATTTAGAGTTGGCGACTTTGTTCTAAGGAAAGCTGGTCTAACGAGATTTGAAACTCGTTTGGTAAATTAGCTCCAAATTGGGAAGGCCCTTATACATTAGTAGAAGTGCCGCACCCAGGTGCCTATATTCTTCAAAAAATTGAAGGGAAAAGAGTTCCTAGAGTCTGGAATGTGAACCATCTGAAAAAGTTTTACCCTTAATTCAATTCCCCCAATGAATTTTATCTTATTTTATTTTATAATTGTTGATTCCTCTATCTGAGATTAGTTTGTCATTTAGCTCTTTGGAACTTTTGTCCGAGGTCAATTGGTTATCATTTAGCTCTTTGGAACCTTTGTTCGAGCTCAACTTGTTGATTCATTTTATTCCTTGAATTTGAATTTTATTAATGAATTTCACCTTATATTCAAGGTAATTTCCTTTCAATTTCTACTTGAAGCATACACAACAAAAATACATAAATGTTCAAAACAAATCTCAAATATATAAATAAATTGTTAATAAATGTTACAAAACATCTTAAACAAAGCAAACAATTGTTTAGAATTTAGCACAAGAAGGAAGAAGTTAGAAAAACAAAGTATGCTATTGGGTTGGAGGAGGTGGCTGGTCCACTTCTGGTGGAGGGTGCTGATCGATTTCTTGCTCAAGTTCGTTCTCTGCAACTTCGGCACCTTCGACCTCAGCACTTCTAGCTTTTGGTTCTCCCTCTTCAATTGCAACAACCTTAAAGTCGAAGTTAGGAGGAAAGATTGTATGACCTTCACTGTCGTGGTCTTATTTCAAGTCGACTTCAGGACAAAAGTCAGCTGTCATACTCTCTCCATCTTCATCCACTCTTCCTTCTTGCTCCCCGAAGGTGATGCCAATCACATCCAGTTTAGGATGTTGGGCTTTCACCTTTTTTCTACAGTCTGAGAAAGCTAAAATAACTGTAGGAAGCTGATAGAGGTTCACGATGTTGTCAAAGGTACTAGATTTCAAAAACTCAACAATGTAATCCTCCATCCTATTGTGAACTAGCAAATTTATGTTCTTCTTCAACTTAGTCGCAACCTTTTTGATTCCCTTAATCTCCTTCTCCTATGCTTCTATCTTTTCTTCACAGATCCTTCTTTTCCTTTCCTTAAATGCGAGCTTTGTCTTCAATGCATCATTCTCTTCCTAAAGCCATGTAAGTTTTGGCATGACCTTCGCCAAATCCTTCTCAACCTCTTCCTTCTTCTTCCCCAATTCCTCTTTCTCCTTCACTAAAATGTTACGCTCTTTGAGGGTTTCAAAAAACTCCTGTTACAAAGCATTCACAAAGCTCGCAACTTGCAACACCCCAACAATCATAATATATATAAAAAAAAAACCACTCATACCTTAAGGATGTGCTTCACAATCCCAACTCCACTGTGGCCCAACACCTCTTCCTGAGCTCGACGACAATCCACCTCAGGGAAAGTTGAGTTTATAAACCTCTTCACAGTTATCATACTTTTGGTGTCAAACAAGCTACCTTGTTGTGAAGGAGTAGGCACAAGGGACTTCCCTTTTGAATGGGTTATAACCCCAACGTCCCTGAGTTCGAGATTGAGCTGAATTGGGGGTGGACGAAGTATGAAGTCCACCACCTTATCCCCCCTACACTCTTGCTCCTCCACCTTCATCCTCTTCTGAGCAGGCCCAACATCCTCACTTCCCTTTCATTTGAGCTCTGGCCTCGACCTTTCAGCATCCGAAGCTCGAACTAAGGTATTAAAAGGTTGTCCCTTCTCTTTACCTCTTACCCCCCTTGACTTGTAGCAACTGTTGCAGCTGAAGTCTTTGACTTCTTGGGAATTGCCATCCCTCCAACTACAGCAAGAAACTTGTCCATCTCTTTTGCCAAATAGGGAAATGTTAAAACAACCATCAGAACCTCACTGAGCAATTATACAATGCAAAATAAGACACATCTTCACTTAATGAGTTCACCTCATAAAGCTCAACTGCCTCCACAACATCTAAGCTGGTGAGATACATGATGTATATGAAATCATCCTCTTCTCTCACCAACTTCTTTACCTCCTCCTCCTCATCCTCATTTAAACTATATTTATTCTGGTTCACCTTCTTTGCCTTCCAAGTGGACAAAAATTCCACTTCGGCATCCCACTTCGGCATCCCTCCTCCCCCACTTAGTATCATCAATAAAAAGGAATTTTTCCTTCTATTCCTTGATGGATGATGGCCTAACACTAAACAAGTTCCTCTTGTCCTTATTGGACACTCGGGGAGTAAAATAGTACCAGCCTTTCTCTTTCTTACTCCCACCCTTTATAACAAAAAAATGTTTAAACATGTTTATAGTGGGCACCCTAACTCCCCGAGCTCGGCAATACACTAAAAAACCTATTATCACCCTTATGGCATTTGGGGCAAGTTGTGTTAAACCTATACTATACTCCAACAACAATTCAACCAAAAGTTTTAGAATGGGGAACCTCAGCCCTACTAATAAATAATGGGCGTAAACCGACATCCAATGGTCCCGAGGTGCCAAACATGCCCTCTCCTCCACCCTAGCTAGCCTAGTCAACACTTGCAAAGGGAGATCATATGTTTCAACTATACGTAC